AAAAAAAAAAAAAAAAAAAAAAAAAAAAGGGGCCCCCGCCGAAAATCACGAGATTTCGGCGGGATCCACTCACGTTCCCATAAACCCTAGGAGTGGCCACCTCCTTTAGGGAGAAGGGAGCGCTGGTGTGGGTTGAAGCAGGAGGAAGCCAACGCGCCACCAGAGAACGGACGAGCGACGACGCATCCACCGGCGACAATAGCCAAGCCCTGCGAGTTGGACCGTCGGGACCTTTGGACGAGGGAGACGCAGCGCAGGCGCGGGTCGACCCCCGGCATTCGGCGAGACCTCTCAGCCAGCGTGCAGCCCGCGTTCGGACACCACCCCAGCGCCTCGTCCCCTTTGTGGCCCAAGCCGGAGGCGTTCTAGGAACCCTGCGCCGGCGGTGTTGGTCGCAGCCATCGGTTTCTGCCCCACCGGCGGCTTCGCGAACCTCCGGTTCGGCTAGGTGCGGCTTGGCGGCTCAACATCCGAATAGTATACCGATTCCTAGGTTTTCGACCCTTCCGAAGCCATTTCCGCCATCGTTCCAACCATTTGAGGTCAGTATAACTCCATATTTGACAAATAGCTTGCGATAGGGACGTACTTGGTAGCTAGACACGAGGGATAGTTGTGAAGGCGCTCTGAGTATATCATGTTGTCTTATAGGAGGTAGTTAGGCGCTGGAGTTAGCGTTGTGGGCGACTTCGGTCAAGGCCAAGGAGGTAAGTAACCTTACTGTTGGCGTTAGTTATGTATGTATGTTGGTGCGTGCCCTGTGGCCCTTGCACGCACCATATATTGTTGCTGTATGCTAGGTTAGATGTTTCTTGCCGTGAAATGCTATATGCATGCTTTGTTTATGTATGTGATTCTTGCAGTGAATTGCTATGTATGCCATGTTTATGAATATGATGTTGTGACGCGTTTTGTCGCCCTGTATGTATGATGAGCTTGATTGACATGTCATGATTGTGATGAGAACCCCACATGCCATGAATAAGATGACTAGTATGCTAGGATATGCTTGCCTAATGTGAACCCGACTATGCTATGTAATGGGGCGAGGGGATGGAGCGTCGTAGGTGTAATGCCATGGAGGTAAACCTTAAGAGCCTCATGCACGCTATGGTTATGTACTTGGGCACTCCCCCGTTATGCTACTGATGGTATGGATGCGTATGTTCGATATTGTGTTCGCCACGATATCATGCAGGCCCTCCTTTGTCCGTGGCGTCCAGTATTGTATGTCATACATACCCGACCAAGCCAGGCCCAGGGAGTTCACTTGCGAGCTCGCCTGGTGGGCCCACGGTCACCCCCGTGGGCCATGTGTGGGAAATTACCATGCATCCACCCCCGCCCGGACAAGGCAAGGGCCTAAGGCCATGGGAAGGAATGGAAGACAAACCTCTCACTCAGTTCCGTTCTTCTAGCAGTGTGCGGCATGTATGGTAATGATGTGCGACATGTATGGGGATTCTGTGTGACATGTATGTGTGTTGCGTGCGTTATGTATGTGTATCGTGTGCGACATGTAGGTTAAATGGGTGCGACTGCTTGTATCCGAATGTATGAATATATGCTTAACCCCAATAGTGGGGCGACTTACTGGGTATTTTATATAATACTCAAGCCACGTGCTACCAATATTTTTCAGGAAAGGGCAAGGCTCCCATGTACGGGTGACGGTGGGTGAGGCGGAGGGCCATGGAAATCTTGAGGAGAGCTTGTTGTGTCGTAGCGCCTGTTGGATTCTCTCGGGTTCTTAGTTTTGCGAATTGTTTCCTTTAGTCTCTGTTGATTACTTCTAGGTTAGGTTGTCGCAAATTGATTTTCCTAGGTATGAACTGCTTAAACTGATGAATGCATTTTCGTTAACGAGACTGTTCCATGTGAACCCTTATCCTGTTGATTTGACGAGTATAAGGTAACGTCGCTAATTAGGGTGGAGAAAATTAGGGGCGTTACACTATTGATATGGGTTTGTGTCTTACAAAGTCTAGCATTGATTTGTTGAGTGCCTTTCCGGATGCGGATTGGGCTGGGAATCCCGATGATCGTCGAAGCACTGGAGGCTATGCGATCTTCTTTGGTGGCAATCTTATCTCCTGGAGTTCAAGGAAACAATCGACAGTTTCTCGTTCTAGTACGGAGGCCGAATATAAGGCGGTTGCTGATGCCACTGTCGAATTAATTTGGATCCAAGTCCTCTTGCGTGAGCTCGGGATCTCACAAGCGCGAGCGCCTAGCCTGTGATGTGACAACATTGGTGCCACCTATCTGTCTGCCAATCCAATCTTTCATCGACAGACAAAGCATGTTGAGGTTGATTATCACTTCGTTCGTGAACGAGTATCGACTCGTCAGCTTGATGTGCGACTCATATCTTCCAAAGATCAGCTCGCCGATATCATGACAAAGCCACTGCCAACTCCTTCTTTTAGGAGTTTTAGGCGCAATCTGAACTTAGTAGTACATGGTCCAGATTGAAGGGGGTGTTAAATGTAAAATAGATCATATCTGTACATAGTACTGATTTACTTGTTTGTTACCATGAATCAAGAAGAATCTATGATTTCCTGGTTTGTTACCAAATCTATAATTTCATGGTTTGTCACCAAATGTATGATTTTATGGTTTGTCATGTAATCTCATTATATAGATATGAGGTTGTAGGTCACAGTGTCATTCAACTTATCAGACAAATGGTTCCACCTCATCGAACAAAAACATCAATGAGACTTGAAACCTCAAACTCGGCACGAACGATGAGCGAGGCACACAAAGGAGTAATCCAGCAATCATCCCTGAGAATAGAGTGGTAAGTCCAACAAACTTTTGCGTGATCTCTGAGATTTTTGCGTCGTCAACGATGATGTAAATTCTGGAGAAAATATAACGTTAGAAACTCATAATTTCAAGTGCATTAGGATGCTAGGATGCTGTAAGCGTGAAAAAGAGGTGGACAAAGACTTCAAGTGACTGGAATCTGAACGTAGGAATGTCAAGAAAGAAATGTCGACGTTGAAAATCCTCGGGAAGAGAGAGAAAATGGTCGAAGAAATCTGTGACAATCGGACAAGGAAGACGGCCGCCTCGGATCCGGGTCGGCCTATCCAATAATCCACTTAAGCCTGCATTCACACTACAAAGCCCACTATGTATTCTTGACCCAGACGCGCTACAAGAACAACAGCTCAGACGAAATTCACGACCTAATAACCTTCGCGAACCAAATGCACGCGTTTCGGAAACACGACCCATGATGCCCACACCCAAACCAAACTCCGCGCCTTAACTCGCAGCACGACCCACGTGCATTTTAGACTTATACGTGTTTGACGCAGTATCCTCAGCCACCAGCTCACTCGACTCGGGTCGGCTCTAACAGTTGGAAATCAGTTAGACATTTTGACACCAATTCCTAAGTTTTAGACCCTCTCGGAGCTGAAATTGACTTTATTTAAGGCAATTAAGGTCCTTATGATGTCTGATTGCTCAAGTTAAGTTAAATTAAGTTAAAAAAATTAGAACTGCTAAAGAATTAGGTGAATGTTCTAATAGGGCGAAACACCTCGACGATACTTGGAACAACTTTAAGGGGATGAAATCAAGCATAATCCAGTTTAGGGAGAATGTCGGCTAAGGTCATCCATGTAAGTGATCTTACTATCGGCACTCTCACCCTTAGAAATTGGAGCATCAACTTTGTTATTTCTAACGTAGATCTTTGATCCTAAAAGGCAATCTAATTCTAGTCTTTATCTCTTGGTTGATCCGAATTTTGTATAAGGAGATGTGAATTTTTTTTATCTGAAGGTTTATGGTTCAACAGAAGCTTAGATCGTTGGGCTAAAGATTAGAATTGTCTTATCAATTTGGTATAAGAGCCTACGTTGCATCTTTGGCATACTCTATAATTGATTTTATCTTTCATTTATGTCATTATTTATCTTTCTTCAGATCCGTCCATTTATTTCTTTGCTACCATCTCCACCCTTCTTCCTTTTCACTTTGTTTATAAATTATCCTTATCATTTATTTTAGACCATTTACATGTTTATTCGAAGATCAAATAAACTTCAGTTCACATTCTGCTTAAACGGTCTAAATGTGTATCTGATATTTTTGTTTCCTAATTCAAACTCGAAGATAACTTTTGAATTTGCCCGAATTCCATAAAAAGAAAAGTTAGATCTTGTAACCATGGTATTTTAGAAAGAAAAAAAAAATTCTAGGTCGCCGGCGAAGTTGCAAAAATTCCGGTAACCGCCGAAATTTTCGGACTTCACACGACCCCGACATCTCGAGGATCCCCAACCAAATGTCTCCCACCCGCTCCCTCCTGCCATCCAACCTCAGACCTCCTGCAACGAAGAGACGAAGGAAAATACGAAAGAGAGCTAGTTTTCGAAGTTTTCCGGCGAGAATCCGACGAGAGACCCACGACCCTAAACTGTCGTATTTGATCTTTCTACGGAGCAGACTAAACTGAAAAGACCCATCCGGCCTAATATACAACCACACAGAGCGAGTACATGTCGCGTAATCTTCGTCATCGTCGGAGAAGGAAAACCCAAAAATCGATTTTTTATGAATCCCCAATCCACTACCAACGTCGAACAACCATAAAACTTCGTGGGAGAGAGGAGGAGAAGCAAAGAGAGAGGAAGAAGAAGAAAGATGGAAAACGACGTCGAAAACGTCGCAGGAAGAAGAGTCAAAACTTCACTGGAAAATCGAAAGCAAACTTCACTGGAAAATCGAAAGTAAACTTCACTGGAAGAAGAGATCGACGGATCTGGGTCAGATCTATCTGTGACGAGGCCTAAGAACCCGAGAACCCAAGTTTCCTCAGCAAAAAATCAATCCAGCCCAGTAGCCTGAGACCCAAACTCACCTGCGACCCAGCCCGCAAACTGAAGCCCAACGGCCCACCTGCAGCCAATGACCCGCGAGCCAACCCGAATTCGTGATTCAAACTGACCTTCGACCCACGCCTCGATCCGGAGTGCCTGTACGACGTGGCATGCTCTACTGCTTCCACGTGTCAACCTACGGCGCAAGCAGCCCCTTTGGCTCGGCTCGACACGGTGGCGGTTCCGGTAGCTTTTCCTGTGGCTGTTTTGACGACTTTCTGGCATCGGTGGATGTTCCGGTGACTTTCCTGCAACTTTTCCAACGACTCCTCAGGTTGCCATTGTTAGCCCAATTTCCACCGTTTCGACCCTCTCAAACCTGTTTTCAGCCTCGATTAAAGTAATTGAGGCCGTTTTAGAGTCGTATTTCACATTTTTAATTGGATTATTAATTAAAATGTGAAATATTAACGAAAGACGACGAATGGTGCGATAGGAAGCGAACCCCGATAACCTTTAGAGTATTTCTCGAGGAACGGGAGGTTACGTTTAGCTAATTAAGAAGTACTTCAGCTAAGGCCAACTAAGTGGCCTTACTATAGAACATGCTAGAAATTATATGAGTTACAATTATGATATATGAATTATGATGATGTATGAGCGGTATTGTGTGATGTCATATACTAGTATATGATGATGTATGAGCTATGATGATATATGAGCGGTGTCGTATGATGTCGTATACTAGCATATGATATTGTATGAGTTATGATGATGATGATGTGCGTAATATATATATATTTCAATATATGACGTACTTGATATGCTTGATGCACTTTATGGCGATATGACGAGTATCATGATTGCATGATGATTATCATAATATGACGATGTTTTCCATATTGAGCATGTTGTATGATGATGAGTGCCATATTGCATCATCTCGATAGACCGACATAGGACACAACCCTAAGAGCCTGAAAATGATGTTCATATAAATATCAAACGAGCATGTGTTACTTATGTAACAAAGAGATGAGACTAGAGGGTTGTGTCAGAAGAGACGTTATGATGGGAATTAGAGGGACCTCATGCATGTTGTATGTTAATAAGCATAGGGCTACTTTTCCCAGAGATGATGAGTGCAGACGCGCACAGTATGATGATAAGGGTGTTCATGAGGCGCATGACACTAGGGGTTCCGCTGACCTCCAGACGTCGCTACAAATTAGCTGACTAGAGAGGGTCCAGGGGGTGTGCGAGCCCACCTAGGGCTTCACACTCGCACGTGTGGGCTGTGTGTAGGAAAGTACTATACATCCATAGTTGTCCGAGACTAGAGACCACCCCTAGATGAGCTAAAGATAGGTCCCAAGAGCATAATTGCATGTGTTTGCATTTGCAAGGCCCCCTATAGTGGGGCCACTTACTGAGTATTTTTTGAAATACTAAGGCCGTGTGCCAAATCATTTTTTAGGTAAAGGCAAGGCGCACATGTACAGAGGACAACGACATCACAAGCAGAGACTGTGGCACGTGCATAGGGTAGACTCATATTTAAATTCCTAGTCTTAGGTTAGAATAGGCTGTTTTGCATTTCATTGTTTTAAATTATTTTGTATTTGTTTTTATTTTCTCTATTTCGTATTTAAACATGTAAGACCATGACTTCAAGAGAAGAGGATATTTTAAATGTTTTCGACATTTATACTATAGATGGTGTTTTCTTTTAAGAGTTATATTTCCGCATTAGAGATGAGCATGAGACATTAGTAGCGACTCTGAGTTAGAAATTTAGGGTGTTAGACATTTAGTCAAAATCATAACGACCTTTCTTTCTA